AGAATTACATAACTGTGATTTCCAGCGTCCACTAAAGAACATGTCAATTAAACATGCACCTTTTGCTTGCAAGCTGCACAAAAGTCTAGAAAGATGACATAATCATATCAAGACAATTTATTTCCATTTTTAAAATAAGAATCACCTTGTTTACAATTATACTGATTTGTTTAAAGGTTTCATTTTAGATGAGTTGGAAGGTGGAATGATGGACAGGGCTTTACAAAGTTGCCCTTTTGGGCACAATTATCTTTTCCTTTTTAGATATAAAATTATATTAAGTATAAAAATATAAACATAAATTTGTTTATTTAAATAATTCTGAGCCTAAGGAATAGGGTAAGCAACACATTTAATACACAAAATAGGGCTTGCAGTGTAGCAGATGATGTCACACAAGGACTTGGGAGACCAGGGTTCAAGTCTCACTCAGGGGGGAAATTAATAAATTAAATTAAATATTATTTTCCAATAAATTCTGCCAAGAGATGTCTCCTCAAATCCCTTGTGTCTTTGCATCCTCTCCAAGATATGAAGGGAGAAAATAAAGTAGCAAAATCTTTCAATCAGCAGCCAAAGCCACTAACCAATTGTGCCGCAGGGAGTTTTATCCAATCCTCCCCCCGGAAAAAACCAGAAAATTCATGGGTGGCAGGACAGAGGACAGGAAAAATAATGCCTAGCTGTGGCCACACAGATATTGTAGACTATGAGAGAGCAAGATCTTGAAAGCCTTCAGATAAAGACACATAAAGATATATTCCATTAAGCATTACATACATATAAGTACAAGCAAAGCAATATCAATAATAAATAAATAAAATCATGAAAATGCAGACTTAAGTATATAGGGTAACTGAATAAATAGGGAACATGTGGTTAAATTAATTATTGTTAATGCTACACATGATTGTGTTGAAACACTAAGTATGAGCTGAACTGTAAAAGGGTTAAGTGAGTGGTGGAAAGGACTATGTTCAATGATGTTATTTAAAATTGAGCATGCATTTTTACTGTATTTTATTTTTACAAAGTTTAAAATTTAGTGAGGGAAATCCAGAGATTTTCTAACTAATGCATATAGGAACCAAAAATTCCACCAGAGGTCAGTATATATACACAGTACTACACAACTCAATGGTCTCCTTTTGATAATGTGCTTTATAGGAAAGAAATGCAAGAAATGCACAGATTATAATACAGTGGTACCTCGGGTTAAATATGCTTCAGGTTACATACGCTTCAGTCTACAGACTCCGCTAAGCCAGAAATAGTGCTTCAGGTTAAGAACTTTGCTTCAGGATGAGAACAGAAATTGTGCTCAGGCGGCACAGCAGCATCAGGAGGCCCCATTAGCTAAAGTGGTGCTTCAGGTTAAGAACAGTTTCAGGTTAAGAACGGACCTCTGGAACGAATTACGTACTTAACCCGAGGTACCACTGTGCTGAAAAGCTCTACAGTTAAAGAAAACTCCCCCCCCCTTTATCTTTTTGGTGGAAAGGTGTATTTCAAAATCCAAAGGATTCATGATGCTATGTAAAGGGGTGGTTACTTTTAAAAAAGCCTCAGGCAATAAATCAACACTATAAGTGAATATTTTTTTCACCATTTTATTATAATGATGCTTAATAGTTGTACGGTAGAACCTTGGTTGCTGAACATAATCCATTCCGGAAGACAGTTCGACTTCCCAAATGTTCGACAACTGAGGCGTAATTACTGGTTGGCAAATTCCTTTTAAAAAATGGAGAAACATGCCCTGGAAGCTGTTTGAAACAAGTTTTGGTTGCCTATGAAACCTAGAGATGACTTGGAACAAAAAAGAACTGCACTTTAGGAGCCTGGCTATTTCTTCAGGATGAAGATGATGAAGAAGTAGACCCTTAAAACGGCTCCTTTTGGAGGAACCAGTTCTGTGATCAGCTGTACAGGGTTAGTGGACTGAAGTAGTGGGGCATTACAATAAGGGGCAACCACTAGATTAAAGTTAGAGGAGATCGGATCATTACTGTGCTGAAAATCCATTGCAGCTGGAGTAGGCTGAAGGATGAGGGGACACCATAAGTTGTTCTGGCTGCACTGAGAACTGTGTATCCATAGGCTGCTGACTAGTAACCCCTTAAACAGGAACCCAACCACCCTCCCCATCCACAGGAGCTGAAAGGAACACTGATGCCTTACCAATGTATTGGGCCCTTCTGACATCTGGTGGTATTGGGCCCTTCTGACATCAGTAGGAGCTCTACACCTCTGCTAGTGAGTGCTCTGGGTATATCGCTGTTGCTACTCCAACTGCTTAATCTTTTTTGTGGCCTTGCGGCTGTTGCTCTCTCCAGGACACCTATTGCCACTGAGGCAGGGTCCTCGGAAGCCATCTCTGTTGCATTTATGTGTCCAACTGGTATGCAGGTCTAACATACAGTATACATGCCTAAGATGTAGTAAACTCAACGGTTGTAAAGGAGGAAAGGCATAAAAATTGATGCAGTAAGGGGCTGACTGTTCAGAACCCCGTCATACAGCTGATCAAAAGATCGGGATGGAGCACTACTGCTCCAGTGCTTCAGAATGTAGCATTAGATCCATCTCCCTTGGAAAGCAACATTGGAAACTCAAGTGAAGAGGGGAAGGGGGGAGGGCAAACACAATGATCTTTTCTTAAGAGAGAGGCAGAGATCAGGAGAGTGTGCAGGAAGGCAACAAGATGGTGACTGGGGAAAAGCAAAAATGGCGACCAGAACAAGACAAACGACAAAATATCAAGAAACAAGCCTGAAGAAGAAATGCCCGAGAGAAAACACAGCAAAGATACAGGAATTGAAGACGGATACGTGATTGCATTCGCAAAGGCAGAACAGGTTATGGGAGTCACCTGCATCCCAGTATGTTGTGCCTGCCCTTGACTGCTTGGTGGGATCACAGAACCCAACCTGACCTGATAGGCTTAATCCCACCATGGGAAATAGTGGAGGTTGCTATAATCCCCTCCTCCCATATTACCATGTTTGTGCACAGGTACAAGTGGACAATATCACACAGCATGGCAGCCACATGTCCACTCACCACCACCATCATATTGGAGTTTCTGTTTAAACAAGCAATGTCTTCAAGCAGTCTTGGCTAGTTTTCTATTAAAGGGCAGGAGGCTGAACTAGATGACATTGGGGAACCCTTCCAGGTCCTATCTTGTATGCTTCTATAATGATAGAAATAGAGAAACATGAGTCCCAGGAATAGGAAATTGCCTAAGGCTGCTAAAACTGTCATATGATTCCAAGTGGCCCAGTTGAAGTGGGTTATGTTCTGAAGGTAGATAGTTTACACAACTCTTTCAGCAAGTGCCAGTTGACACTGGAATATTAAAATACAACTATCATAGTAACAGCCATGCAAACTTGCTTCTTTTTATTAGTAACATTCACCTTGTTTTAATTTATTATTATTATTAATACCCTGCCCATCTGGCTGGGTTGCCCCAGCTACTCAGGGTGGCTTCCAACACATATAAAAACATAATAAAACGTCAAACATTTAAAACTTCCCTATAAGTAAAATGGCATCATATAAAACCAGGAATGGCAGCACCAATAAAGCATGAATTGTCCCGACTGCATGATAGGGTATAATACACTATTGTAAAGTTGTCATATGGCACAGAAATGGGCAATTGCAGAAAGGGATTGAAGATATTTCACTGATGCAGCATCTAAATGATATTTTTAGTCACCACCCACCAATTTAATTCAGCAACAACTCACACTTTATACATGGCATTAACCTATTATAGTGGCACTGGAAATTATAGGCAACATAGCTTGACTGACTTGCTGCATGTGGTCTGTTTAGGACACTGTTGCAGTAACATTAGCACATATATCTTTACAACTAAGATGTAACTGTCATAATTTTTAAAAGTAAATGAATGATAAAGTGTTAAGTGTGGCCATGATGATTCCCATCCAAAGTCTTTTGCTGGCATCAGAAAGTTGGCTGAACATGGACCTTTTTCCGTGAAAATATTAGCTCAGATATGAACGTCAGCATACTCACATTTTTTCCAGCATTTTATTACAATGATGCTTAATATTTGTACATTTGTTTCCACTGTAAATCTTGTTTCTTTTTAAATATTGTGTAACACTTCCTCTTGACTTTTACAAAGTTATATAAATCTGAAGGACATTTTAAAGCATTTTAATCCTTCCACAATTCTCAATATACTATAAGCAATGAATGAGATATAAATGCATGTATGCATATTTCTATACTAAGAAGATAAATAAAAGATGGAGAGGATACTGTAGGGTTCTCATTGAGTCCCAATACTCCCAATACTCTTGGGAGTATGGCATGAATAGAATTTGCTTGTGGAATGGCTACTGTAATCAACTAGAAGAGCAATGAATTTGTGCACAAAATGCTTTAGAATATAATAATTGATGTGTTAGGTCAGGCCAACTGTCTTATTTAGCGCAGCAATCTTGTCTTCTCTTGGTGGCAAACAGTAGGTTACCTCTCCCTACCTGCGAATTGGCTGAGATTATGGGAGAAGAAAATGATGTTGAGGGGAAAACAAAGGGAAGAAAAGGGGGTTTAATGTAGCCTCCTAAAATTTGAAAATGGTAAGTTTCAGTTTGTGAGAGCATTCCACTGAGAGAGATTATAGGTGACACATGATGTAGCAGTGGTATGTGAGAAAGAGTTTTAGCAGACTACAAACATAGGAAACATGTGATGCAGCAGCTACAAAGACTATGAGAAAACCAGATCATGAAAAGTACAACTGTTGAAAGTGTGGGATATAACTTCTGAGAAAGGTTTGCATGGTGTTAAAGCAGACAGTGTATGGAACCTTCATTTTCCTCAACTGTTTCTGTGTCCTTTGATCTCTATGCTGACCCTTTCTTCAAAATCTTAGACTGATACTCTTAAGCTTGCATGTTTTTGCTTCCGTTTCCCCTCCCACTTTTTTTTTTTACCTTATTCAGAGACATCATTTTGAAACACTCTCTGCTGAAAATAGACGCTTACCTCTTTCTCTGGGTGGGCAGCAGTTGCGGGCTCTCATGCTTGATCACCATCCCCAGGCAGTGAGAGTAGAGTGCACATGGCTGGGTGGCCTTTGGGGGAATTTCCCCTGGCCGCCTGGCTTGAGTTGCCGCCAGATGCTGCACCCCAAATTAGCCAATGAGTCGCCTTTCGGGAGGGGGTGCCTTGCAGGCTGAGAGGGTATTGGCTGCATGCATGTCCTCGCAGCCAGTGAGGCACAAAAGCTGGCAGCACCATCCTGCCTCAGCGCAGTTGGCACTGACCCGGGTTTGGGGCAGCACTGTGACTCAGCCCACAACAAAGGAATAAACAAACCAAGGGACATAGCTCCTTTGAACTCCAACTTAGTTAGTTAAAACTAGAGAATTCTTTACCACCCAAGTATGTATTTCCAATAATAAACCTCTTTCTTATTTTTCCACCTCTCTCCTAACAAGGATTCACAGGCTGAAAGCCTCCAAGCTGTGCAGTAACTTTGCATATCAGTCAACAACCACTCTATTCTGCTTTGGTGAAGCATCAAGAGTACTATGTCCAGTCCTGGGCATTACAGTTTAAGAAGGATACTGACAAACTGGAACAACTCCAGAGGCAAGCAACAAGGGTGGTGGAAAAACTGGAGACCAAGCCATATGAGAAAAGATTTCTTCTCAACCTTTTGGAAGCAAGGGCAATTACTGATTTGGGGAAGAACGGACTAGGTGGATAATCTAAAATTTATCACAATTTCACTCTACATAATTTCATCGATAAACATGTTATTGGTAAGAAAATGTATTTTATGCTTATAAAGTAGACATCATAAAATGTATTTTATGCTTATAAAGTAAATAACTTAAGGCCACTGGTTTCAGTGGGTCCGCTCTACATACTCATAGCCTGACACATATCACCCCATGTGAACAAATGGTAATATTTATATTAGTAATGATTTTTATCCTACAAAATTTGAGAGTCGGATTAGAAAGGCATGGAAAACATGGGCCTTCTCAAAATCAATTATGTAAAGACTAAAGTGATAATCCTTGGTAGGAAACTGCTCTTTTCACAAATGATAATTAGGTAAAATTGATGCATAGGTCAATCAACTGTGGTCACTTTCCTCCATATCGAGGTCAAAGGATGAGGGATATGAAATAGATGGCTGCCTCTAAAAGTGGTGTAGGATTTGTAGTCTGCACTTTTGTTTCCACTAATGGACCAGGCCCAGTTCAAGGTATTAGTAATGGTGTACAAAGCCCAATACAACCTAGCAAAATACTTAAAGGCACACTACCTCTGATACTTTCAGATATCTGCAGGGTAAGTGCTGCTCATGGTGCTGTTGATGGGCACAGCACTGGCATGGGTCATGGCATTCTTGGCAATGGTTCACAATGTCTGGAACACATTCCTGACTGACATCAGAATTTCTCCTGCATTGCTGACATTTAGTTGCCATATTTATTTCCCCAGACTTTTTACTGCCTGATGCTGTTTCGAAGGTTGTTATTGATTTTCTGTAATTTTAAATATTTTCAATGGTATCTACTATATGCTGGGCTGTGATTATAATAAAATAAAATGTACATTTGGATGCAAGCATTCTTTAGTTCTTATAGACTCTGAATGTCATCTCAGAAATGGGATGTTCAGCAATGAATTATGTTGTCCACCAATGTTTGAGCAGAGATGCACCCAACTGCCAATTGTTAGTTGGAAACCAAGGACAGGAGATGATCCGATCCTCATGTCTTTGTGGTCCATGACTCACTTAACTCACACCTATTTCTATCAAATTGTGCTACTCATGCTGCCCAACAGGTGCAACTGCATCTTGCATGACCTATTTGCGCTACATACAGCTTAGAGTTCTCTTTGTGGGAGATTCTGAGGTCCTTATCTTATTCTGCTGGCACTTGGAACCGGTGAAAAAGTAGTAATGAATACCAGAGCCTCTTCCTGTACATGGATGAAGCAGGACCCTGGGCAGTTCCCAGCAATTCCTGCTAGCTGAGTTTGGGATGATGTTTCAGCAAAGGCTTAAATCAGGGATGGCGAATCTGTGGGCCTTCCTGATGTCGTTGGATTCCAACTCCCCTCACCCACAAGCAGCATGGCCAATGGTGAGATATTTAATTTAATTTTGTGTATTGCTTATATCCCATGTTTCCTTACTAGGGAAAGCCCAAAGTGTTAAACAGAAAAATAAACACAAAATATTACAATAATCAATAACCATGCCCCCATGTAAAAATGTTTTATTTGAGGTTTTAGAAGGTCACATGCCGGGAGGGGATGGGGGGAGGTGGGATTCAAGAGTAACAGTGAATTCTGAATAAACCAGAATATATAAATTCAGTGGGTTAAATCCCAAGAAAACAAGCTGAAGTATTAATGAAATGACCCAGAGAAACAATGCTAGGAGCAGAATGATATCACAAAACCATTTCTCCTCAAATTACTGGGCCAATTTATCAAATTATTGGTGGAAATGGTTTTCTTCCCAGCCCTAATTGCAGCTATTTGCACCTTGATCCTAAATCTGTTCACCTCAATCAAGGAAAGATGATGTGAATGTTGAAGCAGGATCCTGTGTATGATGATACTATTCAAACTTTCAAAAGTGTGTTCCACAGGGTAACTGCTTGGTTTCAGAGTTATGTCAGCATATGCATCTCTGTTTGGGTTGGGCAGAGATACTGAATCTAGTCCTCTACACTGCCACCCCTAAACAGGTGACTGGTGTGCTGTCAAAGGATACCACACAAGCCAGCTGTCCTGGATATATGCACAAGGAGATTCCTTCTCAACAGTACATGTCTTGTCTACTACTGCACTCAATGACCTGTGTAGAGTGGTCATTATGTGTTTGTTCCCTGTAATGTATTTAGTATTAGGATGTAAATAAGATTCTATCTCCTTAATTACTTCTACCACCTGAACTCAAACATAATCAAATTAATAAAACATGCATATGTAGACTGGTTAAGATTTTGGTTTTAAATTCTTAGCTATTAGTGGTGTATTTCACATTTCATTTTTAAAAATCCATATTGTTAAATAAAATATTTAAGAACAATTTTAATTTATAAGAGTGACAGTCTTTACACTTATTAAATGTTTTCTTTTTCAATTATTGGCCAGCCTTTTTAGATATGGGAAGGATACATAGACTGATTCATAATAAAAGCAGCAGCTGATTCACATTTAAGAATGGTAATACTATCTTTTGATACTGCTGGCCATGCTCCTTGGAAATATTCTTACAGCCTGTGAGGAGATACTCTCTATGGAATAGTCAGAAAATCAGCTCACCCTTGGCAGTAACAAAATGCGGTCTAGCAACTTATGAGGGACATGGCTTTAACATCTGACAGTTAGATTCATTGTTGGTTTAGCAGCCAATCATTGGTTTTGACGACACAAGTCTAATGAAGGTTGGAATATAAAAAGCCCTCTTGGAATATACATGATTCACCAGAGTGGTGAGTTGTCTCAGATTGCATTTGACTTCAGTGATTCACACAGTACGGAAAGATTAAAAAAGGAACCAAAGGAAGGAGAAAGGAAGGAAGGGAAAGCACTGCACTGAATGTGAGATCCTGCAGAAATAAAAAATGTATCTTTATATTTACCTTTTCATGTTAATCATACCTGGTCCAGTGGATCTTAATGAAAGTAACCAGGCAAATGAAAACATGGAAAAAGATGGACTGTGCAACGCATGTACATGGAGGCAAAGTACAAAATCTTCAAGAATAGAAGCTATAAAAATTCAGATCCTCAGTAAACTGCGTCTGGAGCAAGCACCTAACATTAGCCGGGATGCTATAAGGCAACTTTTACCTAAAGCTCCGCCACTGCAAGAACTGATTGATCAATATGATGTCCAAAGAGATGACAGCAGTGATGGCTCTTTGGAAGATGATGATTATCATGCTACAACTGAAACTATTATTACAATGCCTACAGAGTGTAAGTACGTTTATTCCTTTATAAGATAGCACTAGAGACCAACAATCTCCTTTTGATCTCATCTAACAAATTGCTTGTGGAAGCATGCAACTGAGAGAGAGAAAAGCATTTTTTTTAATTGAATCATGTTCTACTGACAAGTAATTTTTCTTTTAATGGTATTTCCCCCTTTATATACAAACTAACAATTAACTTGTTTATTGCTGTTGGTATGTAAATTTAGTTAATCAACCTCATTATTTCAGTAATTTATTGTGCAAAAGTAAAAAAGGCATATTAATGCATCAGTTTGCATTAGCAAATCTTCTAGGGACACTTGTTTTTAGGAGTTCCAGAAAACAGGGAGTAAGGGGAACATCCATGTAACTGACAAAATAAAACATTAAGCTTCAATGTACTAATATATTTTTACATGTTTTCACATACAGATATATAAATTATAACTATGCCAAAAATTCTGTGTGAAAATTCCCCAAACTCCTACTTTTTGAATTTTGGTGCTTATTCACAATCATTCTTCTGATCATGTTGCACTGGCACAATTTTTTAATTATAGCAGAGCTTTCGTCTCTTCTTCCTTACACTATCTCAGCCAATCATGTATCACATAGTGAATTTGATAGCATCATAGAACCAATTAGATTAGGCTACCTAATGTTGTCATGGGACGCGGGTGGCGCTGTGGGTTAAACCACAGAGCCTAGGGCTTGCCAATCAGAAGGTCGGCGGTTCGAATCCCTGCGACGGGGTGAGCTCCCGTTGCTCGGTCCCTGCTCCTGCCAACCTAGCAGTTCAAAAGCACGTCAAAGTGCAAGTAGATAAATAGGTACCGCTCCAGCGGAAAGGTAAATGGCGTTTCTGTGCACTGCTCTGGTTCGCCAGAAGCTGCTTAGTCATGTTGGCCACATGACCTGGAAGCTGTACGCCGGCTCCCTCGGCCAATAAAGTGAGATGAGCACCGCAACCCCAGAATCGGTCACGACTGGACCTAATGGTCAGAGGTCCCTTTACCTTTACCCTTTACCTAATGTTGTCAGTGAGGGCAAAAAATCCAGCCGGAACCCCAAACTCAGCTCTAGCTGCACCCCAAAGTAATTGATTGAATTAATGTACTGGAAGGAGCCCAGGTCAAACATTAAACACTTCCCACTATAGTACTGCCTTCAGATGTCTTCTAAAAGTTGTATAGTTATTTATTTCTTTTGACATCTGATGGGAGTGCGTTCCACAGAGAGGGTGCCACTGCCGAGAAGGCCCTCTGCCTAGTTCCCTGTAATCTCACTTCTCGCAGTAAGGGAACTGCCAGAAGTACCTCAGAGCTGGACCTCAGTGTCTGGGCTGAACAATGGGGGTGGACATGCTCCTGCAGGTATATTGGGCTGAGGAGGTTTAGGGCTTTAAAAGTCAGCACCAACACTTTGAATTGTGCCTGGAAATGTACTGGGAACCAGTGAATTATATGGTGATATGGTCCCGGCGGTCACTCCCAGTCACCAATCTAGCTGCCGCATTCTGGATTAGTTTTAGTTTCCAAGTCACCAAGTCAATACTCATTCAAACATGTGTCCTGTTGAGGTAACATAGTACTGAGAGACAACGTTCCTTTTCTGCCAAGGTGTGTTCTGCGGCGAAAATGTTACCAGACAGGAAGGCTTGGTTGAGTTGTCAATACATCCAGAGCCACATACTCTCTCTCCAACAAACGTTTTCATGCCATTTTGCGTCCCCGCAAAACACTAAACATGACGGGTACTTTCTGAGTGGCAAAAATGTTCACAACACTCAGTCTCTGTGCTTAGCTCTAGCATACATTTGCTTTCTCCTAATCTAATTACTTTGTCCACAGTTGTTAATAAATACAATCTATATATTAACCACATTATTAATCTAATGCATTCATTAATGTAGCACCTAATAAATGCCAATGGTGCTATATTTTAAATAATGAAATGTTCATGCACAGCTCTAGGAATTCTATTAGTTGTGTTAAGAAGGAATGAAGATATTTACTGAATGAGCAGATTCTTAGTTATCTTCTTAGTGCTGAGCATCTGCCATGGCTCCTATCAAGTATCTTTTGCACAGCTTATATTATAGTATCTTATGTTCTTCATTAGCTGAAGTATTTGGCTATGGCAGCTGTTTTCGGAATAACACTTAAGGCGATGATAAAATAAAGTAAAAGGACAGCTTGAGCACACACGACTTAGATTTGCTACCAGCAACAGTGGCATAAAATATTCAAAAGGAGTGAAATGGTTATTTTAACATTTCTTTTGGAGAAAATAATCAAGAATTTATGTTTTAGAAATTCATATTTAAAGAAACATGATTTAATTATTTGTGCTGACTTATCCAAAACATTGTAGAAAATACTTTTATTCTATTTATTTCACTCTTCATTGATGGCATTTTAAAAATGCAAAAACTTTTTTGGTAACTTAATATGAAAATGACTTAAGAGTACATGTCTACTCAGAAGTAAATCCCCTGTGATTAGGATTGCAGCCTTAACATATTTTTACTTCAGGCACAGGATCTTGGGTCTGCAACCACATCCCAATTAGAAGCAGGCCCATGCACAGAAAAGAATGCTATTATAAATCTGTCCTTTATATTGCTGTCTCTGGAAAAAGCCACTCATATAGGGGTTCTTTGTGGTACATGAGTGCTAGAATACATAATATGTGATATTATTTTACACTAGATGTACGGAGAGTTAAAATGTATCTAACAGCTTATATAATCTCACTGTATGCTAAAATAAGATTTCCTACTATACTGCAATTCCTAGTCTCACAAAGCAAGTCAGATATGGCAAATTAAAAATCAGAAAATTAAAATAAAGTTATTAACAATACATTTTGTTGCAATGCAAATGAAAGCAACTTGGTTTCTGCTATACTTACTCTGTCATAGCTTATTCACAACTTTACCATACAGTGGTACCTCTGGTTAAGTACTTAATTCGTTCCGGAGGTCCGTTCTTAACCTAAAACTGTTCTTAACCTGAAGCACCACTTTAGCTAATGGGGCCTCCCGCTGCTTCTGTGCTGCCGCCGCACGATTTCTGTTCTCATCCTGAAGCAAAGTTCTTAACCCGAGGTACTATTTCTGAGTTAGCGGAGTCTGTAACCTGAAGCATATGTAACCCGAGATACCACTGTATGTAATTAAAATAGAAATAACACTAACATAACTTGAATGAATGTTTGCCATTCATTGTGTTTTAAGTGGAAGTTATATGTCACAGCCACTTTCAGGCTGAGTACACTGTACAATGTGTTCAGTACCCTTGGTAATTTTGACTAGGGGGTGGTGGGGAGAGAGAGAGACTTTATTTCAGAGAGTGATTTGTACAGCTGGACAGTTAGTATAACTACACAGACTCTCCAAGATTCTCAGGGTATATTCCCTTATGATTTGTTTTCTTTTTAATAATCAGTATAATTTTAAAAGTTCAGCCTGTCCTTTTCAGCAGAAATCAGCGTAATCACATAGTATAAACATTACATCATATTCATCATATCCACTTAGCAGTCCATGGAATTCAATGGTATTCACTCCCAGGTAAATGGTACAAGATCAAAACATAAAACACAACACAGAAAAAGCAAATAGTGAAATTATATATACACATGAATCATTTTCACCTAAGTCCTCAAATGAACAAGCAATTCCTTAAGATTTCAGCGGATTTCCTCCAAGAAAGGTCTTTTGAGTACTGGAAATTAAAAATAAGATAAAATCCAAGCTTTTTTGTTTCATTAAGTTTCTTTCTTAATCTATGTTCAATATTTCCCCCCTTTTCTTTTCTTCCTACGATCTGCTTTCATATGGCCACTTATTTTGTGATTATGTTTCTCTTTTTTATTGCAAGCTAATGGAATCATTGTGTTTTATTGGTAGATCCAGATTTAGTTAGCTGCATGTAGGTATCATTCAAATCAATATGAAAACTTAGTTATGACTTAGATCCCACTGAAATCAAGATAATCTAGGTGCAACTAATTTAGTCTGGACTCTGGACCCAACCCTATGGAAACTGTGAGGTGCTTTAGAGACTCCAGAAGGTGGTGGAATTCAAATTAAATAAATACAAATAAATACTGGATCCAAGGCCACCATCTATTGACAAGGGAGAATTTTAAATGTAAAAAGTGACTGGACCTACCCAAAATACCACTGGAACAGCAGACATTATACATAGAACTATACAAACTGTGAATGGGGATCTCTATTCGATAAGGATTTATTATGTGCTCCTTATTACTGGATATGCACTCACTCAGATTGACCATAAATGTTTGCTGCACATCAAGAGGTTGTGGGAGGGGGATAGCAAAATTTTGATGGAAGTATTGAATACTAATTAAAATGAGGCAAAGTGTGAAGCACTTGTGGTGGTTAAAAAAATAAAAGTGGTATACATCTTAGATGGTCACATGAGATCTGAGCAACTGTTTCCACTGCAAATTGTAAGTCACTGCTAAGAAATTGTCTGAAGATATTATAAAATGTTTATATGTTTTCTGATGTTTGCAAACAAGTAATATTTTCTATCCATTTGTTTATAGCTGATTTCCCTATGCCAGTGGAAGGAAAACCCAAATGTTGCTTCTTTAAGTTTAGCTCCAAAATACAGTATAATAAAGTAGTGAAGGCTCAGTTGTGGATATACTTAAGACCAGTCCAGAGGCCTACAACAGTATTTGTACAGATCTTGAGACTCATCAGACCCATGAAAGATGGTACAACCTCTACTGCAATTCGATCTTTGAAACTTGACATGAACCCAGGCACTGGTATTTGGCAGAGCATTGATGTGAAGACTGTGTTGCAAAACTGGCTCAAACAACCTGAATCTAACTTGGGTATTGAAATCAAAGCTTTGGATGAAAAAGGAAGAGATCTTGCAGTAACTTATCCAGGACCAGGGGAAGATGGTTTGGTAAGTTTCACTTGGAAATTTTGCAGGAACTTAATTGTAATTCATTGCTTAAAAGGATGTTTCAGACAAATGAAAGAGGAATTTACAAAAGCTGTGATTATTAATGCAGTGTGAAAGCTCCAGCATATTAATGATACCAGGATCTGGAAAATGTCCTCCGTGCTCCAGCAGAACAATTAAACCAGAATTCTACATAAACTTCATGTAGTTGTTTGCCTGTACCTGGAATTATTAACACTTATTTTTGAGTTCCTCAAGCTGAGTGCTATATGGAAGGTGGTTATATAGGCCATTTTTAATAGCTAAAAATTAATAACACCAACAATTTGGGTGTTTGATGTCTTAATGATTTTTAACAGGACAATGAAAAGGTTTATGACTAGGAGCCAAAGAGTTCCTCTTTGTATGTGTCCAAGAGGTTGAGGATTCACAGTGACATTTTAAAATTTTGTCCTTTGGGCAGTACACTGTATAACAAATTGTTTTCAAAACCATCCTAGGTGGTTTTTTTTAAAAAAATGGATTGCCATGTAACATTGTAGCTGCTGCAATTCTTCTAGGCTTTATTTTATTTTTACCACTCTTCTCCTTACACATAAAAGCACCTCCCAAGTAAAAAGCAGTCAAGGTTTTTTGTTGTTTTTTTTGTAACAAGGCTGGTTACATTATCATCATCATCATCATCATCATCATCACAGCTCTCGAATGCTATACGTTTAGAAAAATATATTTTGTGTGTCAAATGTCAATCACTTTACCAAAATACTATTCCTTTTTCTTTATTCATAGAACCCGTTTTTAGAGGTCAGGATTACAGATACACCAAAAAGATCACGCAGAGATTTTGGTCTGGACTGTGATGAACACTCAACAGAATCTCGATGTTGCCGTTACCCGCTGACTGTGGATTTTGAAGCTTTTGGATGGGACTGGATAATTGCACCCAAAAGATACAAAGCCAATTACTGCTCTGGAGAATGTGAATTTGTATTTTTACAAAAGTATCCACACACTCATCTTGTACACCAAGCAAATCCAAGAGGTTCAGCAGGCCCATGCTGCACACCTACTAAGATGTCCCCAATAAATATGCTGTATTTCAATGGAAAAGAACAGATAATATATGGAAAGATACCAGCTATGGTGGTAGATCGTTGTGGGTGCTCATGAGTTCTTCATTAGGTTTGCCACTTCATAAAATATGGAATCTATGAAAAGTATTTCCCTTGAGCATTTTTTGAAACTGTGAATTTTTGTACAATAGGCCTACCTCTGATAGGCTATACTCTAGGCTATTGTAAAGATTTCGTACCAGACAAGCTACAGTATGTGAATTGAAAGACATTTTTATGCAAGGGCTGGTTACAAACCAGTGAAAAAGATAAGCTACAATCAAACTCACAGGATTTCACAATGAATTTCTTATTCTGGGAAGGTATTTTTTCATTTATGCAAACAACATAATCATATACAAGTTTCAGCAGATAGAAGTAGAAAAAGGCAACCTCCTTGTATTCCAGAGAATGAAAAGGAGCAGGCTATTAAATATAGTCTGAACAGTTGAATTCACTGTTGTACTTGCATTAGAGGATATATTTGTGACGTATAGAGTGAACAGAGTACCAGTGAATTTTTCTCAAACACTTGAATTGAGTTTAGAGTATAAAAACTGATAAGATGAAATTCCACAAAACAGATAAGTTCACAAATTAGGGTAGGTACATTTTGTTTCCATTCCTTTTATAATTAGTATGTACATTACTTTCTGCCAATGGTGCTATCATAGTAGACTTACAATCCAGTCCCAAGATTTGCTGCAGGAAGCATTAAGTATTTTGGATGGGATGTACCAACAGCTAGATTACAATATTGTCACAAAACTGGATATTGTATTGGAACTGCAGACACCAGGAGAACTGAGGTTCTGACAGCTTTAGGCTGAGGTTCTGACACACAACAATGAATCTCCCTCTCCTAAACTACAGTTTGTCATTCACAAGGATTTTTAAAAATTACTTTAGCAGACAGCTGCTAAATGGCAAGAAATTGTTCTTTATTGTACAATTGTTATAACCCATATTGCAACATTACGGTTTGCACTATGATAAACCAATTGAGAGAATTCATAAGTACAGTACTGTAAAAATAAAACATGAATATTTGTGTAATATAATATATATATTATATATACACACAATATTATAATGTAAATAAATGTGTGTTTTTTTAAGTTACTATGACTATACCATATATATGATGCAACAAATTTGGAATAACTCAGATTAAAACTACACTTCCATCAATGATATAAATAAGTTATTTTATTATTTTGCAACAAATATACCCAGATTCAGTATTTATTCTAATGCTCTTGAGAACACTGTTATATAAATGAAATCACCCAAATCAATGATTGCTCTACCCACTTGTTGTATACTTGTTGCTTATATGGGTTCTGTTTTTTCTTTCTTTTAAAATTAATGAGTGAGCCTACATGTAAGAGTTTCATATGCACATGACTTAGTACAGAGTTTGCCAACCTGGTGCCCTCCAGATATTTGTTGGTCTCCAACTCCCATCATCCCTGATCATTGGCCATACCAGTCAGGTCTGATGGGAGTCCAACAACATCAAGTGACTTCACCTAAATTAGTGGATCAGAGCGATGGCAGACATAAGGTTGTAAACAATGGTATCCATATTAAACACAAATTCCCTGAAATTAATCAACATGACTAACTTATGTCCAGTAAATTCAATGGGCCTAATCTGAGTAGAATTTAGTCTGCTGCAACCAACTATTATTGCCAGATCAACTATATTAGCAGTATATGTCAGGAGATACTGTGGGCTGGATCCAAAGATAACCTTTCAGGGATGGAAGAGAAGGGAAGTGCTGTTTACTTTGTGTTTAAGCACTGCATGAGAAAAGAGAAACTAAGTCCCAAATGTTCCTTTACTTGCACAACAGCACGAACAGCCTCTCATGTAAGAAGTATGAGAATGGGTAAAAAATTTACCTGTTAATAGCATTGTGTGAACTGTGGCATAAGCTTCTGTACAAACTTTTGCAGAACAGCACTAGTGGCTGTTTTCCTTCACTCAACATTCTTTGCATTCAACATATCATTGATTCAGTTAAATTCTTAGCAATATATCAACACACTGTTGACACAGCACAAACCCATATATTTTCACTAACTGTATTTTTCTTATGAGCTAGAATCTTGCAAAATATTTTATTACCTTCATTTTATAAGTATGTAATAAACTTTAATTTTCATGTATTACTGTATATTTTGCTCAGCATAATCAGTAATTTTTAATCAAAACAAGGTTTAGAAATCTATTTCCTATTAAGAAACTTTATTTTCAAATGTGAAAAACAATTGAAAATATAAACATTGTTCAATAACCACTATAATTTCTGTTAAAATATTTTCACTTTTGTATAATATCAAAACTCTATTTGTTGTATACTGGATTTCAACTTATCATTTTGTGTGAAATTACAGCAGAATATCAGTCTCTGGGTTTTCTTCTTTTCCCCCAGCTGTGAAATAGCTAAAATGCCAATTTTCTATTTCTTTTTGTTTCAGTGGGATTTAAACAGTTTTGTGGGTTGCACCAAGAGGCCACAGTTCAGTGCAGTTAAGATCCACTATCAGAATCCATGAAATATAATGCATACATGCAAAGCACTGCCCCTTGTACACAGTGAGCCTAATTATTTTCTCTACTCGCAACGGCACCTCCTCAAGCATAACAGAATGTCACTATGGAAGGTCCCCTGACCTTGTGCATAGCTATCTACATGGGAGGGGCTAAATTAGGAATGGCATGACTGAGAAGTCCTTGCGCACGTATGGAAGATCACACATGGCAGTCATAGAAATCAGTGAGACTTAGGTATGTCTAACCCTGTAGTGTACTGAAGCCAGAATGTGTATGAAATACTGGAGAATATTAAGTATATTACAATACAATGTGTTGTAGGTGAAACATGGAAAACACACATTTTCCCATACACGTATAAAACACGTTTGGGTGGCCTGCTCTTTACACCATGGGTAGTTAACCTGTGGCCCTCTAGATATTGTTGGGCTACAACTCATGTCAGTCCTGCCAACTTAACTGATGTCACAGATAATGACAGTTGTACTTCCCCAAAATCTGGAGGGCATTAAATACTCTTGTAGTACATAAAATGGAGTACAAGGAACAAAACCAACCCCTCACCTGGCCTTACTTTGCTGCGCTCCCTACCTGGTTCGCTTCCAGTACCAAGGCCAAGCTAAGAAAGATTTGCTTAAAAGCTACAAAATACAGCAAGATAACACATGAGAGTGCTTTAATATCACTTCCCCCACATGCTCCGTTTTGTGTAAAGTGTCAAGTCCACACCCCTGTGAGAAGGGGCCATGTTTAACAATCGTGTGTGCCTTAGCCATTGTTTTGGTCTAGCCCCCTTTTATAGACATTCTTAAGGAATAGGCCCTTAAAGCTAAACATAGAAAGAATGCGTAAGAAATCTTGGCAGATCTCAGATGACCAGATAACGCAAATCTGATTTTCTAGAAAGCACGTTAGCAGTTAAGAATTTGTTTAAAGAACAAGCAACATTTTGATCAAATGGATTCAATACATAGCACAGGTCCTGGATACAATGGTAGCTGCTGTTGCAATAAATTATATATACAATCTATGATAATAAAATAGGTCCTTGTTTTAAAACTCACACAAATGACAAGATTTACACATGTCTCTTCTAATGCTGAAGAAATATTTTTTAAATAGATAGCTTCACATTAAATTGAATGCACAACATTCTCCAATTTATGCCTTTAAGAGACATTTCTCTTCAAAGCACTAAAGCCCTAATATTTTGTGCATAACTGTGCTTTCCCTGAGTCAACAGCAATAGTTTTCAGGGCCAACAAAGTTATTTGGCACCTCAGGATAAAAAGTCCATAAATGTTCCCCCCTTGGATTAAAATTCACCAATATATAAAATTTACTGCCCCGTTAACATACCCAAATTCTGCTGCCATACATGGCTGCCTCACTCTGCCCAAATAGCATGTTTTGATGGGCTTTGCCTGAACTGGGGAACAGGAGTCCTTAAAAATATTTTCCTACCAAATAATTTTAAATAATACAATTCTTTAAAATCCTATTACATTCCATGCTTGCAACATTTGGATCTAGTTCTGTTGCACTTTTTGAAAGAGAATATTCACACAGATTGGCAATAAGTCAGGTTTTAAAGGTTGCTTTGTTTCTGAATACTTCACTTTGTTCTCAGAAAAAATATTACTTACTGATGTACAAGATTCACTCAGAGATCATAAGCAACACCTTAACTAGCAGCAGCAGCAGCAATGAACAGTTTTGATCAATATTTCAATAAATCAGCTAGTCTAAAACTATGTTCCATATGTTTTGTCTTGGACCCAGTTTATCCACTGATCACTTATCATAAATAACACAAAAAGTATGTGGTGAAAAATATTCCATATTATGGAAATGAAAAAAACAACAACCCCAAAACATTTCCATGCTGATAAGCTTGGGTGAGACAATTTTTCTTTGATTTGCTCAAAAGATGGGCCTAAGTAAGATTTATTGGTGTTTCACTGCCAGTTATAGCCAATATACTTGACATACTGAGTTTCATAAATCAAAACAATACACACAAACACTGCTTCATCTTCATTACACTACTATTCAGCATGATTTAGTAGAACGGTGCCAAACAATCTCAATGGCAGTGAAGGAATATTACATAGATGCTTTTTGGCTGCGATAAGATGTTTGCTGTGTCATGATGCTATTGCCATGTGGTATTACTATACAGCCTGGGTGATGGGCCATAGAGAAAATGCCACTGATGCATGGCACAAAATGCAGCATCTTATCTCATATCCTAAAAACATTTTCCATTAGCTGTGATTTCTTACAAGCGATATGGCAAAAACAACTTGCTAGTTCAGTGTAAGTTTTTATTTGAAAATGTTTTTAATAATGTCAAAATTATTTTCTATAGTTCACACTGAACACACTCCAAGGTTTCTAACCTTTTCTACAGTTTGTAATAAAGACGAAGAAAAAAAGCAGACTCCCTAATTTCCAAGCTACAGTACCCAGGCAAGAGAATTTACTTTCAACATCAATTGCATCAAGAGTCTATGAAACTTCACATCTTAGTCAATCATCCTCATGCAGTTATTACATAACTGCATACAGAAGGAATGGGAAACTTTTTCTATCAAGGACTACATTATCATAGGAGCAATCTGCAAGGGGTCATATGCTGGTAGTGGGTGGTGCCAAAACTCTCTTTCTGCAACACCGCTATTTCACACTTTCTACCACCCTCTGTTTTCTTAAACTCCCTTCTTCTCCTTCCTCTGACTTCACCTTCACACACTCTTACCACCCCAGTTTTCTCTCTTTTCACGTACCTAGGTTCCATTGCACCCTTTTCAAAGAGCTGTATTGCCACCCACCCACCCACCCTGGACCATGGACCATAAACTCATAAATTTTGCTTTTTGTCACCTTTCACACTCCACCGTGACTTTCTCAATGGCCCAAAGCAACAGGGAGCAGCCCAGAGCAACAGGGAGAATACGGATGGAAAACGGGCTCATAGCCACTCTGAACCACAGTGGAGTGGTGCCAATTTTGCACCACTTCCCCGAGCTTGTGCCTTTGGTGGTTGCCAACCTCACCAACTCCTAGATATGCCCAAGCAGAGGGACCTACTCTCTTGCCAGAGATCTGAACAGCTTACTTGCAGAGGGCCCCTGCCTTTCTCCTTCCATCTTTTGATTACATCTATCCTGCATGTCATTAGGCTGAGGGATAAAATAGTCCTCCACCCCTGGCTTTCCAGTATCCATTCATGTACAGTGGTGCCTCGCAAGACGAAATTAATCCGTTCCGCGAGAGTCTTCGTCTAGCGGTTTTTTCGTCTTGCGAAGCAAGCCCATTGACGGATTAGCGCTATTAGCGCTATTAGCGGTTTAGCGGCTATTAAA